ATATCAATGAGACCTCACACCTCCTAAGCACCATATTACCATATATTCTCTCAAGAAAACAACCCATCTCACTCTTGCCTATATCCAAAGCGCATTTACGCGCAATCACGTCGCAATCACACCCTGTCCAGATTTCCGCATTCTGTGACCAGTTTCAAAGAATGACCTATATCTCGAGATCCACCAGTTAGTTTTATCTGAAATTTGGATATGTTTTAGATATCTTCTGGGGAGTTCTATTGATATATTATACACTTGCGAATTCCTTACGGTCATTGAGATATTGATCTTCGAAGTAAGGGCAGCGTTTCTATTTTTCTGGGTGATTCTTGAAATTCTTGATTCTGTTTTGAAGTGCTTGTGTGGAACCACTTGGTCTGAAATTTTTGGTGATATTTACAGTAATTATTTGGAGGTTATTTATCAAAAAAAAAATCAAAAAAAAATCAAGAAATTTGAAAAAAAAAAAAAAAAAGCAAAAAAGAGAAAGCAATAAAGAAGAAGAATAAGGTTGGGGAAAGAATTTGGCTGGTAGGAGAATTTTGGAGGGACAAGGAAGGGGAAAAGTATAAGGTTGGAAGGAGTTTTTTAATGATTCCTAATTGGTTGTGGTACACGTGAACCCATTTTATATTCTATTTGTCTCTATCTTTTGATATTGGTCTTGCATATCTTTCTGCCATACTTCCTTCTTTAGTTTCCTTTTTCTTTCAAATCTTATTTAGTTTCTTTGCTCGTATTGTCCTTTTTCTTTGCTTCTTGCTCTCAATTTTATTATCTATCTCACGATACACCCTTACTCTCAAAGGCTTGTGAAGTCTTCCAAGGTACGTTTTCTTGAACTTTGAGGTTGAATCCATATCAACTTGAGTACCGGACTAGAATTTTCCTTTTTGGAAAAAGGTTTGTGAGAGTATCTGCCACCTTGAGCGATACACGAGTGGAGTGTGTGTTTATAAGAGTGTGTAGTACACCACCAGAGCCATATAATCCACCTCTTACCTGCGAGCTGAGAATAGTGAGGGAGCGAGCCAACTTTTTGGTTTCACTAACGTGATTACTCACACATCTTTTTTTTTTTTTTTAGATATTTTTTTTCCTATACAGATGGCTGATCAAGTTCCAAACTTTCCCCAGACATTAGAACAAAAGATAGACAGGTTACTCAAACGAATGAATAATTTGGAGCAACACTCACAGCAAGTGCAACCACCACACAATGATGAGCGACACCTGCCACCAGTAGGAAGAGTGGATCCTATATGTCAAAGGATCCAGCAGCGTAATGCGGAGTTAGGAAACATTAAACATGAAATTCCTAACTTCACCGGTGAGAAAGGACCTACCGAATACATAGAATGGGAGAATGCTGTTGAAACTCTTTTTTATTTAAAGCAATATTCTGATCTTACAAAAATTAGGATAGTTGCTACATCTTTTAAGGTGTATGCATTATCTTGGTGGCGAAAAAGAAATATAGAAAGAGTTGCTAATTTTATTCCCTATGAATCTTGGGTTCAAGTGAGGGAAGATATGCGCCTAACCTTTCGTCCGAAATCTTTTTTCAATGATCTTGAAAGAAAATTGCAGGGAACGGTGCAAGGAAATAAGTCAGTTGATGAGTACTACCAAACTATAAGTATTTTGCTTAAACAGGGAGACATACATGAAGAAGAGACAAAAACTGTTGCTCGTTTCGTACATGGATTGAACTTAGAAATTCGGTGTGGAATGAGTATTCAGAGATATGACACCCTTTATGATGCCCTGTATGCTGCACGTGAATCTGAGGCAAAAATCAAAGAGATGAAAATGTACAAGTCCAAAAATGGTGCATCAAGATGGAACAACACTTGTTCCACCCTCAAAGGCGTGATGAACATCCTCCTCCAAGAGATGATTCACGAGACAAAGGTAAGGAAAAGGTAAGTGAGGCAGTAAGGCCTCAACATGATAGAGAATTGATTTGTTATAGATGTAATGGGAGAGGCCACATAGCTCGTGATTGCCCTAACAAGAGGGTAGTTAAGATAACAACACAATCTGAAAATTTTACTTCTTGTCTTGAATATAAATCTGAGGATGAGGTTTGTGACCATTTTGAAACCCCCAATGAACATGTTGAGAGAGAACCATCCATACCTTTAGATTCTGATTCTAAATATGTTGATAGTGAGTCTAGTCATATTGTTGTTGTTAAGGAGGTTTTGAATGTTCACCCTTTAAAAGAAGATTAGTCTCAAAGAGAAAATATATTTTGTGCTAAAGGGTCAATTAGAGAGAATGTGTGTGCTATGGTAATAGATTCTAGAAGTTGCACAAATGTGGCTAGTGCAACTATGGTTAAATTTCTTCAGTTACCTTTGCTTAATCATCTAAATCCTTATTGTTTGCAATGGTTAACTGATGTAGGAGAAGCTAGAGTAACCAAACAGGCTCTTATTCCTTTATCTATTAACAGTTACTCTGATGAAATCTTGTGTGATAATATCCCAATGCCTGCTCATATCTTGTTAGGTAGACCATGGCAATTTGACAGAAAAATAAGTTATGATGGAATGAGGAACACTTATGTGTTTCACATGAATGGAGTTACATATGTCTTGCCTCGTTTGTATCTTAAACAAGTAGAAGAAATTCAATTGACATTGATGCAAGCTCTCAAACCAGCATCAAAGGAAGAAATCAAAGAGAGAAAAGTGGAACCTCCATGTTTGGAATTGCAATCACCACTCCAATCTTCTATTTCGGTTTGTAGCCAAACAAAGGGACCACAATCAGTGATACAGTGGAAAGGACCAGCCCAAGGTGTCAAAGTGCAACCTCTCTTGGTAACTACAAAGGATATTAAGCAAGAGAAAAGAAGGGGAGTAACTATTTACTCATTTTTATTTCAAAAGCATGCATTAAAATTCTCTAGATTTGTTTGTCATGTTTCTATTAATGAGCTCCTTGCTAGATGTGTTAGAAATTTGTTTGCGTCCATACATCCGAGATTCCTTAATTTTGATTTTACTAAAACTTTATTTGATAGAGATAAGGAATCACTGGGAAGTTATAAGGCACATTTGAAAACTTCTTATGTGAAATACTACTTGCTCAAGGGGTTTTCGTTCAAAGTCAATGGGATTGGCACTTTTTGCTTGGATTTGAGCAATGATTTAATTATTGATTCACATAAGGGACAATTTGATTTTCCAAAGAGTGATGATGTTTTGCATGGATATTTTCATTGGCCAAAGAAGAAAAAAGATGTAGAATCTTATGTTCATAATTGTGCTACTTACCACCACAATGCATCTAAATCATTACTTGATATTTTCATGGATTTTGTGTTTGGTTTAGCCTTAAGCTCTAGGCGGAAAGATTTTGTGCTTATTGACAATTCAAACAAGATGCATAAATTTAATATGTCTCATTTTGTTGAATTATTACCATCCAGAATGTTTAAATTCCCTGATGTCTCATTAGACTTAATTGCCTTACTTGTTGATTGTAGGATGATGATTGGAGCGACTCATGTCAAGCATCCCAAGAAAAAGTTCCATGAGCGTGATAAAACAGAAAGTGAGCTTGCTACTTTGTCTTTCACTGAAGATTTGGATTCGAGGACGAATCCTTTTCAAGAATGGGAGAATAATAGGAACCAGTACACATGGAATCCAGAAAGGGTAAATAGTGGGCTCATCACAAGGCCCATAACGACGACCTTAAAACATCATTGGTGGAAGAAACAACAAAGACCAATAATAAGTCCATTCGATAGAGGAAAATATTATAGTGGCCAATTTCAAGTGATATCATGGATCGAAGACAATGCTTACAAGATTCGAGGTCGAATCATTTTCAAGAAGGGGAGGATGATGCGGCCCAACATATGAAGATCCATTAAGAATACTAATTGGGCCAATCACAAGGCCCAAGTCCAAACAATTAAGGCAACTCTTCATTGGTGATGTTCAAAGATGGTGGAAATCCAAGTCAAGCCCATTTGCAAAATATGAAGAATAACTCAAGGCTTTTTTATAATTGTTTAAGTGCTGATTTTGGTGATTAAATTAGGCCCAAATCAGCCCTATTATTTTTGGTCATCATTAATTTAAATTGTTTGGCATAAAAGAGAAAACACTAGTTGTATTTAGAAAGGATTCCTTAAATCCTATTCTAAATAAAACTCTATTTACTTGTTTTCTAGATTAGGTTTAGGACTCTTTTTCCCATTGTATTTAGATTACAATGCTGCCCTATACCTATAAATAGGGCACATCCATATCAGTTTTAGAGAGGCTTTAATTCAATAAAATTCTTAAGTTTTTCTTTACACTTGTGTAAGAAACCTTATAGCTAATTGTGGACTCAATTAGTGGCTAGTCGTGGACTCGACTAGCAAATTGATTCGTGGACTCGAATCAATCTTACTTTCTTCAACCTTAGATTTAGGTTCGTGGACTCGTTCTTGAATCGAAGGAAACTAGATCCGACTCTAGTTGATTGAAGATTGCAACATCAAGGTACTTGAAGCTACATGTGATTCTTCCAAGTCTTTGAGGATTCGAGACAAAGGGTTTCTCGTGAGGTTTAAGGTATTTCGATCCATCTCTATCTTTACATTGAGAGCAATTCTTGGGACAATACTCATCTTATTTGAATCTTGGACTAGATTCATATCAACCGCCTCCACCCGCATGTCTTTAACCCAACTCAAGGCCTCACGCACTCCCAGTGCCTCCGCCGATTGAGCATCCCGCGCCACTCCCCGTTTTGTCACCACGGCTGCCTTGAATGCCCCATCATGATCCCGAAGCACCCACCCAAACCCCGCAGCACAGCTACCACCATCAAAAGCGGCATCCACATTCAATTTCAGCCTCCCCACACTCGGTTTCTGCCATTGTCGCACATCAGCCGCCATTCCGCCTTCCCTACCATCCGCACGCCCTTGTGCATGTACTCTACTCCATCCATCCCAAAAGCTTTGAGCTAAAATTATCACTTTCTCCTCAGTCCTCAGTCACGGCCTCTCCTCTCCACACAGCACCATTACGGCACTGCCATAAGCTCCAACAAACAATCAACGCAAACCCCAGTCTATCCGCATCCATGACCGAGAACATATACTGGAACGCTGTTTGTATTGACTGCCTCACATCACCTGCGAACTCCACCCTCACCTTCGCCCAACACCTCTGCGCCACCCTACACGTAAAGAAGACATGCACACTGGTCTCCTCCTCCTCATCACATAGAGGGCAGATCCGAGAACACTCTACCCATCTGTTACGTAGAGCTTCCGCGTTGGCAAGCAACCGCTACAAAGCTGCCAGACAAAGCTCTTAACCTTAGGAGGCACCCGCATATCCCACACCTTCGTCCACCCCATCCACCCATCTCCCTCATATTCCCCAACCAATTCCCTATAACAACTCCTCACCGTGAAACGCCCCCTCTTCTCCGCCATCCAATATAGCGAGTCTCGTCTCTCTTGCGTAGACAAAGGAATGGTTAGCACCAATCTCGCATCTCTCTCACTCAACACATCACGTACCACCGCCCCATCCCACTCCCTCCTCCTTGTCTGCATCAGGCCACAAACCCTCGCCTCCGCCAATTGTGGAGGCAACTCCGTCAACACCTTTCGATTACCCGCATCCGGCAACCAATCGCCCCCCAATACGTATACTCCTCCCATCCCCAACACGCCAACAACATCCCCTCCTTAAAGCCTCTTGATTTTGCCATATACTTCGCCAAACGAAAGATGGTCCGCTGCCCAATCCAGCTTCCAGAAAGCTCGTGGCCGAATAGTACTTGGCTTTCATAATCCGAGCCACTAACGAATCTGGAAACTGGATTAGCCGCCAACCCTGTTTGCTAAACATGGCTAAGTTAAATTTGCGTACACGCCGCATCCCCAAACCGCCCAACCTCTTTGGTACGCACACCTTATCCCACCACATCCATCTAATCCCTCCTCTCCCACTCGTACCACCAGCCCATAAGTACCTGTTCATCGTAGTCTCTATCTCGCGACAAAGCTCTACAGAGAGCATGAACACATTCATGGTATAATTTGGTAAAGATTGTAGCACAGTATTAAAATGACATCCCTCCCGGCTCGCGAAAGGAAGCGGTTATTCCACCCATTTATGCGTGCGATTACTCAGTCTCGAACAAATCCCAACACCTCTCTTTTGCTCCTCCCCACCTGTAACACCCCGAAATTTTTAAAAATTTTTAATCTTATAAAATGAAAGCAATTCTATTAATCAATCCCAAACAGAGCATTCTAAACATAAGGGTCTGGGGTGTTATGCCACATCTGAGCTGGAAAACTCAGATGCACAGGCTACATTAACTAATTATCCTTAAATTACATCATCAAGGCACGCAAGCCGAAAGGAAAGACTAACTATCTAAGCCGAGGTCCTCTAGCGCGCTCCGGTAGCTAATCATCTGTGCATGAAAGCCAAATATATCTGTTCAGCGAATAATGCTGGTAACCCACTCCAACGCGTTAAAATACAATATAGGTATATATATAAATATAGGAATAGGAAAACCATTTTGAAGCAGGAAGAGATATACTTAGGAGACTCTAGCTTTAAAACCAAGAATAGACTCGACAAATAGGGATAAGCACATTCAACAGTTATAAACAAGCATATAAAGACATTATCATGTATCCTAAGGTCACAGGTTAATTTAATATCATTTATATCATCTTTCAATCAATATCTTTATCACATAAGCACACTTTGGTGGCGCCAGAGGACCAATCGCATGCCCATACATGAGGGTTAGCGCATATAGCGCTAACACGGCCCCGCAGTACCCTGCCTCATACCGCATCATGAAGGGATTGACCGAAGCCAACCGATGAACCGTAGCTCATTAGACCGTTGACGAGCTCAACGGCGGACCACAGCCCTACACACTGTTGACGAGCAAAACCGGTGGACTGTGACCCTCTTTGTGGACTTCGGCCCTATACACCGTTGACGAGCTCAATCGGTGGACCGCAGCCCCTGTAAGACCGCTGACGAGCTCAACGGCGGACCACGGCCCTACACACCGTTGACGAGCTCAATCGGTGAACCGTGGCCCTCTTTGTGGACTACAGCCCTACACACCGTTGACGAGCTCAATCGGTGGACTGCAGCCCATGTAGGCCAATTTGACCGCAGCCAATAAAGGCGGAATCTCATTAAATCCCAAAACGTAATACAAGAGTACGGGGTGCTATGCCACACCTGAGCCAGAGAACTCAGATGCACAGGCTAACTAACTAATATCCTTGATAATGTAAATGCATAAGCATGGCACGCAGGCCGAAAGGGAAACTATCTACTTCTACGCTCCAATTTCTAGCGCGCTCCAGTGACTTATTCTTCTATGCCTGAAAGCCAAATATATCTGTTCAGCGAGAGATGCTGGTAACCCACTCCAACGCGTTGAAATACAATACATATAGATATATATAGATATACGAAAACCATTTTGAGCATGAAGGTATATCCTACGAACTCTAGCTTTTAAACCCGGGAATGACTCGACAGATAAGGCTAGACACAAGTAACAGTTATAACAAGCGTATACAATCCACAACAGGCAAGACAGATAAGGCTGAGCACAATTAATAATCATAACCCAACACAAATAATCCCCAGCATAAAGCCCAAAGTCACATCCCCCAAGATACTCATAATCCCAACTCATCCATATCTCATCACATAGCACACTTTGTTGGCGCCACAGGACCAATCGCATGCCCATACATGAGGTCAACGCATATAGCTCTGACACGGCCCCGCAGCACCTTGCCCCGTATCGCAACACGGAGGGGTCGATCGCAACCGACCGATGAACCGCAGCTCATCATAGTTTGATCGCAACCAAACAGTGGACCGCAGCCCAAGAGTATGTCATCTGACCGCAGCCAGGACAGTATGAACCGCAGCTCATGTAGAAACGTTCGATCGCAACCAAACGGTGGACCGTAGCCCAAGAGTGTAAATCTGACCGCAGCCAGCTTCTGAACCGCAGCTCAGGAATAACCAATCCGATCGCAACTGAATTGGGGTATCTTGCACATATAACATATAGCAAGCACATGCAACCTACATTAACACATTGGGAAGGGGGAGAAAACGGATAACAAAATCTATGCGTGATCCTTCACATACTAAGAATGGTCTTAAGGGGTTCATACTTCTTCCACCTAGGTCAACGGGATACCAATTCAACTAGCATGCAATATATAAGACTCATAAACCTACGAACGGTACCCGAAACATCAAACTAGACACGGCACGATGAACGGAGTCCGTTGGGACACCACGGGGATCGGGGAAACATCAAACGGGGAAGCCGGGGTCCCGAATGGGGGAGAATTCCAGCGGGTAGCCGGTGGGTGGGGGCCACCCGCCGGTAAACACTGTTCCGGGCAGCGGGTCGCTAGCGGGCAGCTGCCCGCCCGCCGGCTGCCCGCTGCCGGAGACGCCCCTTCTGGCCGCGGGTTGGTGGCAGGTCCCCTACCCCCCACTGACTCTTTATACACAAAACGCCCCGGGAACCATTCTGGAACCCGAAACCATGCTTAGACACTTTACAACGCAATTAACGATCAACACGTAGACAATTAACGGATCAAATACGAGAAACGTACGGCACATAACCTATCATGCTTTTCTAAACATAATTGTCACCCAAACATGCGATTTCCCCACCCGATATACCAAGAATAAAATCATAAGATTCAACCTAGGGTTCTAATCACTTTTATACCAACAAGAATACGATTCGTCTTCTAATTACAAGATTCGGTAAGAATATCACATAAGCATCGAGAACATCACACAAGTATCAAGAACACCAACAAGAACATCAACCTAGGGTTCTAATTACTTTTACATCAACAAGGATACGGTTCGTCTTCTAATTACAAGATTCGGTACAAATAACACATAAGCATCAAGAACGCCATACAATTATCAAGAGCAACATATAATCATCAAGAACTCCACATAATCGTTAAGAACACCATAATTATCAAGAATCTCCCGATATCAAGATCACCCATGGAATTATCCCATCAATCATCAATAATAACATCACAAATCATCAATACACAATAATATGGGGAAATCCTACGGGGGAAATCATAGCTATGAAAATAGGTTTTGTTGAGACATGGGTTACCTCTTAGCCTTAATTAATTCCTTGGCTATGAAGGGTCTTTCTTTAAGCTTTCTTGCTTTCTTGATTTCTTCTAAGGGGATTCTTGGAGCTCTTTTGGGGTGGTGGGGCGTTATTCTTGTGGGAGTTCTAGGTGCCTTCTAGGTTCCCTATTTATATATCTAAGGGTCTTATTTAGGGTCTAATTCTTTTAGGACTAGGGGTTGGGTTTAGGGATGAGGGCCCATGGACTATGGTAGGCCTTTTTCCCTAATTAATTATTATAATTTATTCTTTCTCTTGGGCTATGGGTTAATTAATTAATTGGTTTTAGGGGCCGTAACACGGGGTGTTACACTCTCCCCCCCTTAACGGGAAGCTTCGTCCCCGAAGCTTGGTCCTTGCCGAGTGACTTTTTCTTAGTTACCTGGTGTGAAAAGTTCGGGGTAGCGTTCCCTCATTGTGTCTTTGAGCTCCCACGTTGCTTCCTCGGTCCCATGGTTGGTCCAGAGGACTTTCACCATTTCTATGGCTCGGCGACGGGTGTTTCTTGTCTTGGTGTCCAGGATCCTCACGGGTCTTTCTTCGTATACTAGTGACTCGTCGAGGTTTACGACCTCGGGTTGAAGCACGTGACTTGGGTCGTGTATGTATTTCTTTAGCTGGGATATGTGGAATACGTTGTGTACTCGTTCTAGTTCAACGGGTAGGGCGAGGCGATAGGCTAGGTTCCCAACTTTTTCTATGATTTCATAGGGGCCGATAAATCGAGGGCTGAGCTTTCCTTTCCTTCCGAATCTCATCACCCCCCGTGTGGGCGAGATTCTCAACCAGACCTTGTCCCCGGTGTTGAACTCGGCTTGTTTCCTCTTTAGGTCGGCATAGGACTTCTGGCGGTCCTGGGCAGTCTTCATCCTTTCCCGGATGTACTTGACCTTAGTGATTGTATCTTGTAGGTGTTGGGGCCCTAGTGTTATTGGGTCGACCATGTCTTCCCAACATAAGGGGGTTCTGCATTTTTGTCCGTATAGAGCTTCGTAGGGTGCCATACGAATGCTCGTGTGGTAGCTGTTGTTGTATGAGAATTCAATCAGGTCTAGGTGTTCCTCCCATGTCCCTTGAAAGTCTAACACGCAGGCTCTTAGCATGTCTTCGAGAGTCTGAATGGTCCTTTCGGTTTGGCCGTCCGTGGTGGGGTGGAAAGCAGTGCTTAGTTTTAGTTGTGTCCCCAAGGCTAATTGTAGTGATTTCCAGAATTGTGAGAGGAACCTGGAGTCTCTATCGGATACGATGTTTCGGGGAACTCCGTGATACTTCACTACTTGGCTCAAGTAGGCTTGGGCTAGTTGTGTCATTGTCCACGTTTCCTTCATGGCGATGAATCGCGCCGTTTTGGTTAGTCGGTCCACTATGACCCAAATCTTATCTTTGCCAGTCTTCGTTGGGGGTAGTCCTCCGACGAAATCCATGGATATGGAATCCCACTTTCCTTGTGGTACCTCAAGGGGTTGTACG